TTTGACTTTATGACTTTCTGTGTCGTTTCTGGGATGCTTAGGACTCATATTGCACTGCTGGAAATAGTTAATTTTGATGCATATGCTGCTTTTTTGCAAATTTGCAGTATAATATTTATTTTCGTTTTTCGTGCAGTATATAAAAATTGGTGTATTTCAAAAATAAAACTATGAAGACACTCAAAATAAATTTCCTGTGATGGGAAACTATTTTGTGCAACTTTTTTGTATTTACAGTTTTGAGGGATAAGCCTCTTAAATTTCTCTAACTAGAAATATATGTTAAAAAAGCAAAAACGATTTTCAATTTTTTTTGTAGTTTATTGCACTTTTTTGCAATTTATGTAATTACTATGCACTTAATGCATACATAGTATTAAAATCTGGGCTATAATGGTTGTATTGATGTATAGCAACTTGAAATGCTCCCAAAAATGGCTCCACAGCATGTAAAAAATATAAAGTAAGCTCTGGCGGACTTAGTTTCATGGTAGGTCTTAAAGGGTTAAACATCAACTTCCTAACAGCTCAGGTTTTAAAATGAAGTCAGCTGTTGCTTAAGATGTTAATTACGGGTGTGTTCTTCTAGATAACCATGACATCATCTCCATGAAGCTGTATGAGCTTACAGTCGAGAGGACTCCACAGGAAGCGGAAGAAGTGGAAGTAGTCACCATCCCCAGAGTTGACAACATGGAGCAGTTTCAAGGTAAATGCAGCACGATCATCATCAACCTGAAGTCATCCTTCTCAGCGCTGCACCGTATCGGCACCATTACTCAGGGTGGGGTTGCAGCTAGTGTGAAGTCTTGAGGGCCCAGTATTACCAGGCCCTACACCACCAATAGCATCATTGCACTCCCACTGGTTTTCATGCTCACCATAACTGCAGAGGTGGCCACTGCAGTATTCTCCTGAACTGCTTAAGCAGAGAAACAGAAGGCGAAGAAATCAAAATCAAGTTTTATTCTTTCCCCACAAAGTCTTGTCTTTTTAGATTGTTGCCACGTCTCCCTCTGTGTAATCTGTGAAGCTCTGAGCTTAAAAAAAAAGAAAAAGAAGCATGATTGTACACTTGTATTTAACTGAACAGTTTTGTACTCAGCATTTTTTGCATGCTGAGCACAAAGTTGATGTAACAGAGCAGATGAGTATAGTATAGTCTGCCACTATACTATACTGCTTCCCGCATGATGATAAAAGGCTCAAGTAAATGGATGAGGCTGATACTGGCAGACATGAATCCAGTATGTGGGCACATCTCATACATGTAGTATATCTAATTGATATTATTTGTTCATGTTTACAGCTGGGAGAACAGAGGGCTGAAACTTCAGCCATTTTTTTTTCTTTTCTAATATTTTTTGCTTTTACTTTGCAGTGGAAGTGGAGGAGGAAGGGATGAGTGGAGTCCAGCTGTTCTTCACCCTTCTCTTCACAGTCGTGGGCCTGGTCGTGCTGGGAGTGGTAGGGCTAATAGTTTACGGGCGCTGGAAGGAAAACAAACGCAAACGCTTTTACTGAGGAAAGATCAGCCAGTCCGCAGAATGTGTTTTTAATGAACAAACATGCAAAGACTCAATGACACAAATTGAACAAACTGAACTTTAGTGGGTTTGAAGCATAGAGCCATGAGAACAAATGAATACATGAGCTGTGGTTTAAAATATTTAAGATTTCTGGAAGATTGATGAGATAAAGCTCTGCTTGCTGTAGTGAAGCAAAATCATTTTAAAAATATGTTCATCTAAACTTGAAGCACGGTGGGACTTTTTATCTGCACTAACTGAGGCACTGTTTCTACCAGCAGGAAGTAAGAAAAACAACAGAATGAGTCACTAAATCAGATGCTGAGTTTGCTGACATTATGTTACACAATTTTGGAGTTTGGGGTATCTCTGCGGACCTGAGCCAGTGCAGAGTGGGTAGAAGTCATGGTAGCGAAGTTGGGCGCTTCTTTTATTGTCATTTAAATTTTTTGTTGGAAATTCACTAACTTTACTAATAATCCTGTGTTTATTTTATTTTCTAAATACGTGACCCTTAAAATGCTTATTTGTACATCAACATTTTCTTTATGACTTTTCATTATATCTGTGACTTACCTGCAACTTTCACATATCAAATCAGATGGGACTTGGGCCTGTTTGTTAGCTTGCCCACTATAGAAATGCTGTTTTGTAGGTAGCTAGCAGAGTGGCATAGATATGTGCACATATTCTGCCACTGGTATGTCCCGGATGATTAATCAGACTTTTAAATTCTGAATGACAATGTTAGCTTCCATTAACATTTTTAAAAAGTTAGCTTAAAATGATTCGTCATAGATCAAGCACATCTCTACAGAGGGCCTGTTGGCAAGTGGTTGCTGCTGTTGCTGGGTGAAATCATCACAAAGAAGTTGCACCAAAAACCACCTTTTGATCGCTGTGGTTGGAGTATGCTAACATTATCATTACTCTCTGACCTGTAGTGAAACTTTGGGAAGAAAAAAATGCAACACAAATCAGAGTAAAAGTTGTGCCGTTTGAAATGTGGTGGTTACAAGAGCAGGGCACAATTTTTACTTTGAAGGCAAATGTTTTTAGTTTGTGTTGACCCTTCAGGTTCACTTCTGCTTGACATGTACTTTGTGTTTGTAGGCAATTTGTCATCCAGGCACAAGCTGCTGGTGACCATGCCAACCTGCTAGCAAACAGTCTTTTAATGTAGCAGCATTATACTAACTTCACACTAGCAACCTCGGGCAATCACTTGCCAACCAGTCATGGAACACACACTTTTTGGTGGAGACTGGTGGTTACTCATCCCTCAGTCGATTTCAGTGACTGCCAACAACTGCTCACAAGCAGTCGGAAAATACACAATTAAGTGCCATATGGCCACTTAAAGGTGTTTTGTCTTTTTGTGTGACTACCACAAAGGCCATTGTGAGTTTACTGATCCCTGGGCCAGCAGGGACTACTTGTTGTGAGATGAACTTTATGCTTAAAAACATCCCCTAATCAGGGCCTCGTTCCCAATTGGTGATGTGTTAAGTAGTCATAAATTATCAGTTGCGTCACTAATGTACCATACTGCAACAGCTACCTTAAATGTATACCTGAATTACAATAGTTAGAGCTACGTAGCATTATTCAGATGCACTTGTTTTGTGTGACGATTCCCAAACGAGACAGCTGAATTTATATTTCCAACAGGGTTCACAGTAGACTATCAAACTATTCATGTTAAACATTATATTATAGAAGTAGGTTAGGATGCACTAAGCCTCGTCTCATATAAACGTTCAGTGAGGTCTGATTGTTTTTAATATTTGAAGAACTTCTCTCTCTGTAGACCTTCATGCATTATAAGACCTGGCTAAGACCTGAACAGTATGGTGGCTGCACTGAGAGCAACAACTTATGTGGCATGCCCATCAATGAATGTGTGGGAGAGTAGTTAATCTTTGACTGTTGTTCTTTGTTCTCTTCAGCCAACAATACACGACAATTACAACTGATGGTAACGATTTAATTCCAGAGTAGATTTAATGAACAAACAGGTGCAGAACTTTCTTGCCTGGTTGATTCTACAGTTCATGCTAATGCACCCACTGTAAATGCCTCACGCACATGGCTCTGTGATGTGCAGAGAGCACCACTCTAATTTGACTTGTAGCTGCTGTGAAGACCAGTGAGCCTGTGAATCTTTTTATACTTTTTGCTGCACTAAAGAAAAAAAAAACTGGACTGTCATTTTATTTGAGATAACTTTATACAGCAATCCAGCATTTATTCAACAAGTGAAAATATTTATATAAATATTGCTGATACGTGAGCTCAATGCTATGTGTAAAAGAATAGAGTGGCGTTACCAGTGCTGAATAAAGTGCCTCACTAGGACCATTACAGGCAAACTCTCATTTTGATCCTCTGTGCAAGTTTGAGCTCAACATTTATTTTCTGTTTGACATCACTTCCATGGCTTGATCTACACTCTGACGTTACAAACAGGTCTCAGAAATGATAAGCTGATTTAAGAGTTTATCTGAGAACAGTTTGTCAGTGTCACTCTTTGTGGAGCACTGATGTTTTTAGTTCTTCCACCAACCAGTAACTTGGTAGCAATTGATGTTTTGCTCTGTACACACTTACATTAACATCCATATGCTGCATCATGTAGTCATGTGAGTTTGATTAAACTGATCACTCAAACCAAGAGGAAGAAAAAAACAAAAAATGATGTCAAGCTTTATTGTGTCTATGAAGAAACCTCGAGTACTCAGTAAAACCTCAAATATCATGAAACTCCAGCATGGATGTAGAGCTCACACCTCACTGGTTAAAGAAGCACTGATGTGCCATTCATTCAATAACCATGCACTGACAATAACTATTAGAGACAACTCGGTGAGCAAAGTGATGCAATCATTTCAAAATTTCTTTAGATTTTGTAGTATTATCATTATTGTGATAAATGTGAATAGTCAGTATATAAAGACAACCAGCCAATGTATCAATATTGGGGGGTACAGCAAAACACAAAATGTTAAGTGATATTAAGAAAGTGAACAGTCAATATCACATGATATCATCAATAATTGTGAGCCTGACAGATTTTAACAAGTTGATAATACTCAGGAGTAGCACAAATGTGTAAATGAAATAACTACTCAAACCCAAGATTAGGTAAATCTCATTGTGTTTTGTTCCTTGGAAAAGGAGAAAAAATAAATAAATATAAATATATATATATATATATTAGTAATAAAAGTCCTAAAAATCGGTCGTCTCTGACCACTTCTATGCACTTGTAATTTTACTTTTTTATGCTTATAGAAAAATGTCATTCATATTGACATTGCTAATAAAAACTATAATAGACTATAATAATAAGAATTTTAATGGTTAAAATCTGTTAGAAGTATATCAGGAAAATCTGTAGATATATCAATATTTGTGGTCACGACAGCATCAATGAATGAATGATAATTGGGATATTTAAAAGCGAGATCTTAATATTGTATTAGCAATGCGCCTATAATATTTGTTAAAAGAAAAATTGTAATTCATGTCTTTGTTTGCTGTTGTGCAGTTTTGGGTTCTCACCACTTCCATGTACTTGTAATTTGAGTTTAATAGCTTCACTTTTAATAGCTAATAGTTTAATAGCTTACCAAAAAAACAGCACGCACTAGATAAAGTTATAGAAGAATTTTGCTACCAGCATTGATGCAAGGTTTTTTTTTTTTCAATTATCAATTTTTGTTTGTTTTTTTTAATTTGATTTGATTTTTTTTTTACACAGCAATAATAGTACAAATAAAACTCTGATATAATGACAGCCTTAATTCATTTCATCCATTCAATAACAGACTAATCATTCAGGAAGACATTTGCCCAAAAAGCACTTCAGTGTTTAGTTCATTGGAGCTTTGTGGCCAGTTTCATAGATTTTTGAAGCAATATCAATCAGTACTTCACTCTAATTAAAATCAGTTTCCAGCCCTTTAAAAAAAAAAAAAAGCTACAGATTTGTGTTTTTTTTCTTTTTTTTTCTTTTTTCAATGTAGGTGTTTCATTTTTGTGTCATTCAGCGTGTGCTGTCACTGGGGAAATCAGCCATTTAGGGATTTTTTTAATACTAGTGTTCAGCTTATTATCAAATTAAAGAAAAAGAAAGCTCAACCCTTGTCTGAAAAATGTGTGTAAATCTTGTTTGTGTGTGATTATTCTTCTTGAATAAAAGTTTGTTTATTTTTTTTCGTTGTGGTGTTGTTTTTAGTTTTCTCTGCAAACGTTTTTCATGTACAGTGCCTTGTGTATTCAAGAAATTGAACTACAGGGTGGGCCATTTATATGGATACACCGTAATAAAATGGGAATGGTTGGTGATATTAAAGTCCTGTTTGTGGCACATTAGTATATGTTGAGGGGGCAAACTCCTCAAGATGGGTGGTGACCATGGTGGCCATTTAGAAGTTGGCCATCTTGGATGCAACTTTTGTTTTTTCAATAGGAAGAGGGCCATGTGACGCATCAAACTTATTGGTAATGTCACGAGAAAAACAATGGTGTGCTTGGTTTCAACGTAACTTTATTTTTTCATAAGTTATTTACAAGTTTCTGACCACTTATAAAATGTGTTTAATGTGCTGCCCATTGTGTTGGATTGTCAATGCAGCCCTCTTCTCCCACTCTTCACAAACTGATAGCAGGAGAAATGCCAGCACAGGCATCCAGTAGCCGTAGTTTCAGTTGCTGCACATCTCGTATCTTCACACCACAGACAATTGCCTTCAGATGACTCCAAAGATAAAAGTCTAAGGGGGTCAGATCGGGAGAATTTGGGGGGCCATTCAACTGCCGATGTGTGATTAATTGGTTTATAATCACTTAAACTAGTGACCTACAAGGAAGTGTAGGATGAGGCTCGAGGTGTTCAGATGCAGTCTGCATCTTCACAGTTATCACAAGCCCTCCACACTGTATGTTTAAGGTTAAAAGGTTTAGATTTTGACCAGAGGGGCCGATGGCGCGATATGGCAGCCTCGCTTCTATCAGTCTGCCCCAGGGTAGCTGTGGCTACAACTGTAGCTTGCCTCCACCAGTGTGTGAATGTGAGAGTGAATGAATAGTGGAATTGTAAAGCGCTTTGAGGGCCTCGAAAAGCGCTATATAAATGCAATCCATTATTATTATTATTATTATTATTATTATTAAAAGTTTTATCAAGACTGTGTAAAAAGATGAAAGTTCCCAGGTGAACGTGAAGATGGAAGTGCTGAAATCTCTTAAGCCTGTGTTCTTTCTAATGGCCAGCGGGGAAGGATGGAGATGGTTTAAGCCATTTAACCCTTGATGTCATTTCAGTTAAGGCCTCAGCAAACACTGATGAGCTTTTGTCTTCCTGAATACAACATGATACAGTATTCAATTTTACTTTTAGTCATGTACATTTTAGACAAGGTGACTTAAAAGTATTGTAAAACAAAAAAAAACATTTGTTCACATTTTTGAAATGATACTTGACATCCTGACTTATCAATCAGGAAATATTAGTTACACTACAAACATGGTGGGCAACAAATAGAAGTGAAAATACCATAATGAATGTTTTAGGACAAAAAACTGAACGTTCCTGTATTGTATCTGTACTGTATGTTGGAGTCAAATTGTTAAATGTTGTCATTGTGTTACTTAAATTTGTAAGTCTTGGTTCAAACTATAGGATCAAAGACATTTGTTTCTGTTGACCTCCCCAGACTGTTGAACGGTGGGGGAGGCTGTAGTGGTTTATTATGGGACATCCTATGTGAGGGTTCTGTTTTGTTGTTTAGTAAGCTTCCTGCCTTTATGACCCTTTTGTGGGCAGGAGGTCACACAAACGTACCCCCACTCACACACTCACAGTACCTTATCTCTTAGAACCATAGGGGTTTTTTACAATGTGTGGTGCTTATGTGTACTGTAACTGTTTTCAATAAAAGGCGGCAAGGAAGGCTGTTTATTTGAAGTTGGCTAGGAGACAAGCGAGGAGCGTTTAGCTCCTAGAGCCTGGTTCCGACCAGCCTCCCTTGCTAGCAAGTAAAAACCGGTTAAAGCTGTTTGTCTTGCTTCCTTGTTTCGTTAACAGGAATAAGTTTCTAAACCAGCGGGGCCTGTGGAAGCGCAGACCCAACACTGTATAACATATTATAGATCCACAGCAGTATCATGCAAGATGATCACCTCACTGTCCCATCTGCTTACTGTACAAGTTTTCCAATCGCATTTATTTATTTATACTGACTAGGGGTTGGAAAGTAATTCTGATCATTTATGTAGCATCTTAATTATTTATTGTTGAAGTCAACTGAATAAGTCCACAGGGAGCATTAAATGTCATCAAGCGCACAAGCCACCTGATTGCAGACTAAACGAAAAATAATCTGCTACAATAGATTTCATCGATCTCCTACCTGGAAAATCCAATTTTAGCCTCTGACTAATTGCATTTCTGCAGTGAAGCAAAGTGATGGCATATTGCCATGGATTTTCCTCTAAGCAAAAAATGAGTCCAGCAAATTCAAGAGGTCATTGATGAAAATCTGCTTCACCTGAGACTGTGATATGGTTAGTGTTTTTCAAAGTAAATTCAACTGTCTTTCAACAGTTTTGTTATTTTTTCAAAATGTATTTTATTACAGACCTCTCGCTTGCCAGGCGTGAATGCCCCTCCTCTTTAATGTTGTTACTAAACATACTGGGTAGATACACCCAGTATGTCAACTGCCCTTCCACACCCTTTTAGTTAGTTTTCCTCCCTCCTTATTGTTAGTTAACCCTGGCAATGAGAGAAGCAACGCTGGGCTACTGCTCACACACGTCTGTCACAGAGATATTGCTGGATACAGATTAGTCAAGGTAGGTCCTTAGATTATTCAATTGGTTTGTTATCTCAACCACAAAATTAGTGTCTGAATTTATAATTTCATTTGAATTTATTTACATGTTTGTAATAAATTAGGAAGCACAAGATATGGAAATTTGGTTACAAGTGAAGGTTTTGTGCTGTGCTGTGAGCTGCTGTCACACAATCCCATTTAGATACAAACTTGCAACAAATGGTTAATGTGGAGATAAGAGCAGATAACAATGATTAACAGGAGCCTAAACAGAGCACAAGTGTCCATTGTGACTTAAGGGTCAGTGTTGTCACATCAAACAAAAGTGTACTGTAAACAGTAACTGTCTATAGCAGTATTATGTCTCAAACATTTAAGCCCATTAGTGAGACTAATCTAAAGTATCATTTTGTATTTTATGGTAATAAATGTGACAAACTCTGACAGAGGAAGATTATCAGTAAGGATGACTAGCGCCTGTGTGAACTGCCTGAAATCTCTGGTGACAGCTCTGCACTTCCTCTGCTGGGTAGGTACGTTGGGGTAAGAGACCCACCCAGACTACAGAAAACATGGGTTGTCATGTAATTGTGAATTACCAGTTCCAGTCAGATGACATAGCACACTTACAGTATACACATTTATAGATACACATTATGGTAAATAGTTATAGATAGATAGACAGATAGTAGTTGCCTACCTTGTCCAACAAAATGGGGGAGTGTTGTGTCAGGAAGGGCATTCGGGGTAAAATCTGTGCCACATCAACATGCATATCCATCTGCTGTGACCAGCCCTTGGGAAATAAGGGAGCAGCTGGAACTACCTTCTACTTGTAAATGTGGTGCCACAGTTCCTGAACATTGCGCATTCATCTGCAACTGTTATCAGTCAGGAGCACCAT